CCCGCCGGGGTGCTGGGGGCCCCCCGGGGAGCGGGGCCGCTCGGGACGAGCCCCACGGGAGCAGCTCCCTGCCTTCTCCAGCGCTGCTTTGCTCCCAGACACCCACAGAGCCGCGGGACGGGGGGGAATCGCTGCCTCCTGCCCCAAATCCTGCCCGTGGAGGCTTGGCCCCGCTGCGGCCGGGATCGCTGTGGGGGGACAGGGGAAGGGCGAGCCCAGGGATGCCCGCGGTCCTCGCGGGATGCACCGGCGGATGCGGGAAAGCCTCCGGCTCCTTGCTGCATCCTCAGCAACCCCGTGGGTTCGTTAGCACCAGTGCCCAAGCCAGGGTCTTCCTCCCCATCCGCTGCGGCTTGTTCAGCCTTTATAGGAGAAGATCAACTTGCTCGGCTGCCCCGGCACCGAATCGTTTCATTGCAACCGAATTTGCAGGAGAACTGAGCTGAGACGTGGGCAAAGACCCCTGCGCGGGAAGGAGCAGCCACCCCGTGATCCGCTGGCTGGCGCCGGGCCTCGTCCTCCCGCCCCGCTTTTGGCAGAGATGGGCGCCAAACCCGACACGGCGACCCGAGATTCTCACTGCCGGCCCCGGGAAGCACCTGGAGGGGAAAACGTGGGTGCCCCTGGAATAAGCTGCACCTTCGGGCACAGCCACAAATCCAGGTCTCCAGCAGCTCCTTGGCTCGTTGAGAAAGCAAACCCACCGCCTCGCTCCCTCGCTGTTCGCTTTGCTTGTGCTCCGAGCACCAAACCAGAGCACGGCTCATCCCCCTCCGCTGCCGCGGTTTGAGCTGCAGCTTCCCCGGGGGGTTCCCGCTCCCCGGCCGCGTTCCCACGGCGGGGGGCGTTTTCCCCCCCCCCGTGGGGCTTCCCGCCCCCCGGCCGCGTTCCCACGGCGGGAGCCGTTTCCCCACCTCCTGTGTGGTCCCTTCATCACCCCAACGGGCCCCGTCTGCTCCGGGGTCGGGCTCTGGGCTCCCGCCGCCCCCGGGACTCTGAGGTTTTCCCTTTGAGGATGCTCCAGAGAAGAGGCTGCACCCCCGGGGCGGCCACCCCTGCGACGGCCGCTCCCCACCGCGCCTGGGCGGATGGAAACCTCCCGCTCCCTTTGCTTTCCCAGCTCGGAGAAGACAGAAAGCCATCGCTGGCTCACAATTAAGCTCGCTGAGCTGATGAGCCAGGGGAATGAAGGCGTGGAGGGGATGGGGAGGCAGCACGGGGGGGGTTTGGTGCGGGAGGACGTAGCCTAAGCGGGAGATCACTGGGGGCATGGCTTGGAGCGGCTCTGGGCTCGGTGGGTGCTCCAACCCCACCACACGCACCAGGGAAAGGCTGGAGAAACCCCCCCCAGCCTCGTTTCCCAGCAGATGGGGTTTTGTTTCTGGGTTCGGAGTGGTTAACGCTTACCTGGGGATTTTTCCGCTGGCAAATTATCCTAACGAAGCCGGCGTGACTTTGGCAGGACACCTACGCGCGTTCCCTGATCCAGCCTGGCTGTGCACGGGGAGGGAGAGGAAAAGCAGGAGAGATCAGTCAGCTCATCGACAAAGAGAAACCCCAAGCAGCCCAAAGCCCCCAGCTCCCGTCCACCTCGGAAGCCCAATTTCTGCATTTAACTTCCAGCAGGGCCGGTGGCTTTGCGGGACCCTGAGACCCCCCGAGTCGGGGGCTCCTGGGCCGGAGTCGGGGAGCTCAAGTCTGAGGGAGACTCCATCACAGGGAAAACCGAGGCCGGAGCTCTGCCCCGCCACCAGCTCCGTGCAAAGGCATCCCGGGACGTTTCATGCTGCCTGTTAATCGCCAGAAGATGCAAAACGCGTCAGGTTTTTCTCCCCAGCGGGGAGAGGGGTGCCAGGGGCTGGAGCAGCACCCCGGCATTGCAAAGCTGGTGCACCCGCAAAAGTAAAGCCATAGTGACATCTCCCTACCTGCGAGGCGCATCACCGCAGAGCGCTGGCAAAGCCAGGCGTCCGGTCCAGGCGGCACAGGTGGGAGAGCACCACGACATGGGAACCGCTGGGAATAACGCTCCTTGATGTAAGGAAAAGAGCTGCCCAGGGAAGAGGGGCTGCCTCGGGCGGGGGTCTCACATCCGCAGGGGTCATAACCCCTCCGAATCCCGAGTTGCTCCGAGGCGAGAGCCTGGGGTGACGTGGGCACCGTGCAGCACCCGCGTCAGGAGGAGCTGGCTCGCGCCGAGGACGGTGCAGGAGCGGGGTCGGGGTCTTTGGAGCAGACGGAGCGAAGGGCCGAGCCCCCGGGGCCGCCCGCCCCCAGCGGGGGCCGGCGGGCCGGCCGCCCCGAGCCCCGGCGATGGCACAGTGCCGAGTGCCGGGACTGGGGCTGGCATAAATGGGATTATTTCTGCATCGCAGGAGGAAGGCAGGCATTTGATGAGGTTTCCGCATACCGTCTGAACCCATAAACCTCGATTTACCCTTCTCTAGGGCTGTCAGCTCAAAACCTCATAAATCCCATCAAACAGCTCCATCCGGCCATTCCGAAACACGGGAGAAGCCGGTTTCGTAGCACGCAACCCACTCCTCTCCCAGACCTGTAATTAGCAGAGCAGGAGGCTCAGGCCTGGCGCTAATTTTAGCAGCAGACTTCAAGGAGTCCTTTCTCGGCAGGACGATGGCCACCGGCAAGAGCACCCCAGGGCCAATGTGCCGAGCGCTTTCCTGCTTTTAAGCCTGACTTAAAAGCGAGGCTTTGTTACTGCAAAAAGGGAACACACAGAAGTTGTTTTGTTTTTCAGAAGTCATTATTTCACAGCTTGGGTTGTCTGACAAATTCCTTTTTAAATAAATAACCTTTATCCTTAGGAATAGAATTCCTTATTCAAATAACCATTATTAAGGCAATTATTCAGGCTTTTGCTAAGCAAGATCTCAATTTTCCCATCCGATTCGCCTGGAGGGAGAGGGCTGGGCCGGTTCCAGCATCCCCTCGCCCACCCTGAACCGTCCCATTTGTTCCAGCCGGGGATGGCCTAAACCGCGTCGCCTGCCTCACTTCCCCATCGCCGCCAAAGGCCGGAGAGGGGAGCGGGGGATTGACGTGAAAACCAGCTTTTTAATATTTCGTTCGCATTTAAAGGGGTTTTTATACGTCTCTCCCTGGTACGCCTTAAACCTGCCGCGGCTGCAATGGTGAAAAGGGGCTCCCTTGTTCATCACTTACAATTTAATAGCAAAGGAGGTATTTAAAGAGCCAAACTTCCCCTTCTTTGACTGTACTGATCACAGCCCAAGCTTTCCCTCTTCCCCTGGCCGAGGGGAGCACACGTCGGCGCGGGACAGGAGCCTCAAGCGAGGTGCGACCCCGCCGCCGGCTGCGAAGCGGGAGCTGATGCAATCCCGCCCCGCTGTTACACGCCGGCCGCATCACGCTGCCACCTTTGGGACCGGGCCAAGGATTTGTTAAGATGGAAACAAAACTTGAAGCCTCTCTGCTCCCAAGGGGATCCCCTCGGCGGGGAGCAGAGCTGGGGGTTCGGAGCCCCGGGGCAGCCCCGACGCACGGAGGGACGGCTCGTTTGCAGCTGACGGGGAACGGGAATAAAATTGGAGTAAGACAGGGCAGTATCGCCGCCGTTATCAGGAGCGATTCGAACCCCCGCGGCTCTCAGGGCCCTGGAGGCGAGATGCTTTTGGCCTCCTCCTCCTCTCCCGAGGGGCTCAGCCCCTGCCCGGGCTGCTGCAGGCAGCACACCTGTAATTTCCAGTGGCTGCATGTCCCACCACAGCCCCCGAACTGGGAGTTTTGCAGGGTGGGGTGGACTTAACCCTTCAGATGCCAGCAATACCTAAATTGGCGCACACAATTAGCACGGTGGAATTACCTCCGTGACTTTTGAGACGCTAACCTGCGGTGCAGGACCTCTCTACGCTGTTACCTGGTCCAGCTGCCCCCCGGGGCCTGCCAGGTTCAGGTATCGCCGTCTTCTACCACTTTAATCCACAGTGGCTCGGCATTTTTGGTACCAAAATAGCCTAGCGTTAATAGCTTGCACTTCAGCAGTTCTGCATAAAGAGACCTCCTTGGTAAGAGCCTTCACCAGCACAGCAATTAAACAGCTTTGAGGAAAATGAAATGGCTTGAATTAAACTGGTTCCTGAACTTGCACATTCAGATATTTAGAGATTTTTCCAATTCTAGGAGGTCAAAAGAAGCTTGTAAAGGACCCCAAAAAATCCCCCCACCCCTGCCGAGGGTCCAGCATTTCAACCATCTGTGAACAGAGCGCAGGGTTGGGGTCAAAGCTGACCCAGCCGCGTCCAGCGGAGCCGGCAGAGGTGGGGGGGGGGGACCCGGCGCCGCACCACACTGCTCTCGGTGCAGATCTGCTCGGGAAACAAGGCTTCCCTGGCAGGGACGGGGCTCTGCCCCGTGCTCCCACCTCCTCCTCCTCCTCGCTGCTCTGCCGCCCGCGCGCTGGCAGCAGGACCTGCGGGACACCCCTCCCATCGCATCGCCTCTCGCAGTTCCAAAACCGGGTTTGACGACGCCAAAACGAGTTATTCCTGCTTTCACCCAGAACGAACCGCTTTGCATCCGTGGCCCGTTCAGGCGTTTCCCTGGGGAAGGCTCGCCTGAGCACGGCCAGCCAGCAGCCACCGCTTCTGCCTTCACACAGCATCTTCCCGCTTACCATCGGCTCAGCCTGCGGCAGAGGACCGTGGCTGGGAACGGCCATCAGAGTATTTCTGGCAGAGCGAGGCCGGGATGCTCGATGGGGAGCGGGGGGGTTCCCACTTAGTGTCACAGACAGACAAACGCCCAGGGCTCGATCCAGCACGTGCACGAATCCTGCGTTACCGTTGTGGTCTTGCCCTTGACAATACAAATGCGCACGCTGTACATGGAAACCTGCTCAAGAAAAATACGTATTTGTTCCCCTCCCATCAAGCTGGGATTTGTTCTAGAGCGGGAACCGTGCGCCGCGTCTTCCCTCTCCCCCTCCAAACAAGCGACTCCGGAGCAGGGGCCGTCGGCAAAGCCGCGTTTCTTCGCCTCGCTGCAAATCACGGCGAGCCCATAGACAAGGAGAGCGGCTTTGGGGAACCACCCGTACCCGGGTGCGATGGGGCTCGCTGCGCGCCTCGGCCGCGGCACTTCCCAGGTGGCCGAGCCGTGCTCCCACAGCTTCGGTTTTATCCAGAATCGGGGCCAAAAATATTTTGGCAACGTCCAAGTTTGCGATCTCCATCGCCCCTTTCCGGAGGGTGGCGACCCACCAGCTTCTTGAGTTACCCTGGAGTATTTAAATAAACTTTAAAATGCATTCACGCGTTTCAGGAGGGGTGAAATCTCTGGTTTTGGAATGGCAGAGCAACCACAACTGCAGCTCTCCCGCTCCCAGCCCGCTCCGTGGCGTGCAGGCAAGACGCAGGCAGCTCCTTTCATCTTCTCCGGCTTGCTTGCTTGGGAGGTCAAGTTTTTACGACCGGGATAAAAACGCAGAGGGTAAGCGAGGGGCAGAGCACAGCAATGCGGGGCGAGAAGGGCTGAAGAGGCGTCTGTCTCTCACTGCTGCCCGGAGAGCGTCTGCATCCAGAGGCGGCATCTGCGAGGACGTTTAATCCATTTGTGGCTTTTAATTTCAATCCATAAATCCCCCCTGGACATCGTCTTCTCCTTCCTCGGCTGCTCTCCTCCCAGCCCCGGGTCTGGGGGAGATCCTGCGCCCTCCCCGGAGGAAAGGGCTGGACCACGACCTCCTCCCGAGCATCCTCAGCGCTAGGCGAGCGGTGCCGAAGGGGACGCATCTCAAACCCGATATACTCAAAGTAAGAGGCAGACCCAACCGTTTGTCCATTTGTTTATTGTCATTCAAATACTAAAAATCCCTCACAATACAATATACAGTTATTGATTTCAGATTCTTCCGCCATTGAGACTGACTATCAGGTTTTAGTGGGAATTTCTTTTTTTTTTTTTTTTATATTTTTGTTTTATTATCAAAGATTTAGAGTCACAATAAATACGAGTGACAAAAACATACCCTGCGCTGGCGTAACGTTACTCTGTTACACTCCTGTGTTAGAGGATTATAAATTCTTTTTTCTTGTCTTGTTTTAAAAAAAGCACAATGCAAGTTATTTCACTAAATGCAAGATACAGCGTAACTCTGCCTTAAGCAGACAAACACTACTGTGGTTCCTTGAGGTCTTTTTGCCATATATATATATATATTTATATATTTATATATTTATTATTAAAAAAATGCCTTCTGTGCCCCCTCCTTCCAAAAGGAGAAAGCGTCAGAGGAGCCAAGGAGGGTTTCCGATGAGACCTGCTCCGCTCTGCCCACTTCTGCAGCCCAAGTTCCCCATTTGCCGTTCTGAACCGGACTTTGGTCATTTTTTTAATTTTTCCTTAGTAAGCAAAGCCATGGGACAGCTACATCTGCAAATTCAGAGGTAAATCAACGGTTCCCGAGAACGATGATAAAAACGTCTATAGAAAAAAAACCCCACCAACCCCAAACTACCTCGAATTTAAGCTGAACCAAGAGTCTTCCTCACTGTTACAGCTGGAATGCCATTTACAGGAATCCCCAGGACACAAAAACCAGCAAAGCCGGCCTTTACGTGAACTGGAGAAGCTGTCCAAGTCGACTGCGCTATAAAAATAAAAGGTTTGACCGGGCCACTTGTCGTGTTTCTGAGCAAAGGACTGCAATCCCGCCAACGCTCAGAAATCAAACAGATAATAAATTACGTTATAAACCCAACAAAATTAAAGAAACCACACAGCTCCCAAATTGCAACACGGGTTTCAAATGAAAATCCGGGGTTTATTTCACAAGTTGCTAAAATCTAAGTACAATAGTCATTTTCATTATTACTGTATTATAAAATCTTGTAGTCGCAACGTCTCCAAGAAAGGTTATATGGCTTGCAAGAACCAACGCTGCTCTAACCCTCTCCCCAGGAGAGGGGGGAAGCAAGCAGCATCTGAGCAATGTCAAACCAGCTCATGCAGCAGTTTGCAGCGAAGCGGTGGAGGGGCGGGGAAGCAGGACACGGTGCCGGATACTCCGCCTGAACGATACCGCTTTACAGGTTAGGCTGTCGAGCAGCACGGTCGGTCTCTTGTTCTGAGGGAGCTTTAAGTAAAACGGTCTTTTTTTCCAGGAGAGGGCCGATGAGGCGACTTTCGGACAGCTCTGCGGCAGAACTAATAGCCCTTACGGAGGCAGGAATCCCAAACGTGACAGCAGTAGAAATAAACCAAAGATTTGTTCTTAAAAGCGTGTCTAACCCCCTCCTTCACAATTCCCAAACGATTTAACCTTTAGGGCATAACACCATTATGCGAATGTTACATCTAATTGAGCTTTTCTGTTTGTTTGTTGGTTTTTCGTTGTTGGGTTTGGTTTGGTTTTTTTTTTTTCCTGCGAGAAGGGGAACGTACAGATGGGGAGGAGGAGATCTGGAAAGACTGCAGCGAGTGTTTTAACAACTACCTAAACCTAGCATGGTACCTTAACTAGCCCAGGTCAACACTACTCAACTGAATATGCGGTTTTGACTACAAAGGAAGAAGCAATTCTTCTGGCATTTAACACATGTATACCACTTAAGTCTTTTCCTGGTGCATTTATCTAAAACTTTGCAGAAACACATATGCAATAAATATTTCCTCTAAGTTACCTGCAGCACTCCAAGAACCAGAGATTAAAAACGATGTCAAAACTGGTTTGAATCCCGACAGCCACGTAGTATTTTCTGTTCGCTGACAAAGCCTTCAAAATAATTCCACCCCAACAGGTAAGAGAGCATTTGTGGGGTTTTATTCTACATTAAACGAGACGAGATTGCGGTCTAGCATCGCTGAGGGAGCAACGTTTGTAAGACAGTATGCGCAGACTCGTTTTTATTTTCAGTTCCAAGTCTTAAAATAAGTCTTCTCAATTATTTTCAGGCTTACTTTAAGTCTCCCCTAGCCATTGTGCCGAAATTAGAATTTACAAGCTGCTGTACTGAACCGGCGATATCCAAAAAGGTTTTGACATAGCTTTTAAAACAGGCAAGTTTAATACTTCTGCCCCTTTTTCCATTCCCCTTTTTTTCCAGCGTCAGCTGAAGCTAAAGCTACCCCGACACTGGAAACAAACTGTGAAGTTGTCCAGGCTTCCCAAAAAGGTATTTGAATTTTAGTTTGAGAAGTTTTGCTTGTTCTTTTTAAACAAATGCACTCTTCCCGGGTGATTTAACAGGGCTAGACATTGGCATCAATGATGAGATAACGCAGGCGTTTGTCAGAAGAGAGAAAAAAACCCCAAAAAACTCCACACAGGTAAGGAACTGAAACTTTTTCATAATATTTCAAAGTGCAAAAATAAAATGCACTCAATTTCTCTCTCCACATCTCCAAATCCAAAATATCTTGGAATAAAAAGAAAAATTAAAACCTCAAACCAATTCCTCTCATTCCCATTTAGCTCTTAATATACATTTGTAAAACAAACAAAAAAACAAAGTCAAATTGAAATTCTAGGGCTTTATACAGCAACAAATACCATTTTGCAAAACTAGGTTTTCTATACTACTGAACAGTTTTCAAAGTGTCTAAATACCGATATTCACACAACAGAAGAGGGGCTAAAATGAACGAGTTCTCTTTTTCACTATGCGATAGTTAGATCTGAAGGGGGACAACCCTATACAGTTATTGGTTTGAAGTTCGATCTAACAGCAATGCTAAGAAAATAGATTCAGCACAGACTGAATAGTAACCCCTCCCCCCTTTTCTTTTATATATAGATATATAGATATATATATATAATTTTGCAAATAATTCTTATCAGCACTACTTCTAGTACTGATATGCAACATAAGTAGTAAGGCATGTATTTCTGCCACTTGAATTCAACTTTAATTTGGGAGAAGCACAGGGAAGAAGGAGGGAAGATGACGAGAAGAAGAAAGAGAACTGGACCTGATGGATGTGGGTTTAACCTGTGGAATCGGCAAAATGTATTAAAAACCACGTAGAAACCTGTCCTTAAAGCAGGGTTACCTAAAGCTCTATCAAAAATGAAATACTGAAGTGATGGACAGAGGAGCATGCTTGGTACGCCTGGAAGAACGGAGCTCTAGGGGGATGAAGGTAGGCAGTCCTGCCCCCAACGCGCCCAACGCGCGCTGGAACGGTCATCGGGCCACCGCAGCGCGGACCAGCAACGGCCGCTTCTCGGCAGGTATCGGCAGAGGAAGGAGCCTGCGACCGG